TATTGCGCTCCCAGCTGGTCCAGTTTATATCGGTGAATTGGCTCCAGCAGATATCCGTGGAAAGATCATGTCTTTCTGGCAGATGTTCTATTCCGTCGGTTCCTTCCTCGCTTTCTGGATCAACTACGCCTGCACGAAGAACAAGTCGCATCTCTCTCACGATTGGGACTGGCGCATGGTTGTCATTTTCCAGATTATGGTTCCAATTATAATTATCTCTCTTATTTGGTTCTGCCCCGAGACCCCACGTTGGTTCATTCAGAAAGGAAGAATCGAAGAAGCCAAGGCTGCGCTCCGCCGTGTCAGAGATACCGAGGAAGAAATTGAGGAGGAAGTCGCCCAAGTTCAACAGGCTCTCCAGTTCGAAAGGGAAACACTCGATGGCTCTTATCTCCCACTCTGGAAGGACAAATCTCTCCGAAAGCGTCTCTTACTCGCCTTCGTTATCAACTTTGGTCAACAGGTCACCGGCCAGGGTTCTCTCAATTCTTATTCTACACTCATCTACAAGAAGGTCTTCAACAACAACAGCACTATTCAGCTCATCAACGCTCTCAATGGCACATTCGGTATTCTGTTCACCCTTACTGCCACTTTCACTGTCGATACCTGGGGCCGTAAGATGGTTCTCTTCATCGGAGCTATCGGCATGTCCATTTGCATGATTATCTCTGCCTCCGTTTACGTCGGAACTCCAACATACGCCGAAGATACCAAGTCTACTCAAGTTGGTGCCGGTATCGTGGTCATGATGTTTATGTTCGCCTTCTTCTACAAACCATCTTGGGGTGCTGTCGTCTGGATCTGGACTGGTGAAGTTTTCTCCATGAACGTCAGAGCCCAGGCCGTCGGTATGTCTTCTCAGATGCAGAACGTCGGTAATCTCATTGTCAACCAGATTTTCGTAAGTAAACCCATTATAAAAATTCATTACCAAGTACTTTATCTAACATTGGTTTTTAGCCCCTCATTCTCGAGAAAATCGGATTCAAGGCCATGTACATGTTTGCAGGTATCAATCTTGTCCTCGCCGCATTCGTATGGTTCTTCCTCCCAGAAACCAAGAACGTCAGGCTCGAAGAGATGGACGCTCTCTTCGGTGGTGTCAACCACATCGAGAAGGGTGCTACTTTGGTCGAAGGCCAATCTCACCACCTCGTTTCCGACGAGAAGGGGCAGGATCTCACTATCGAGGAAGTCGGCCGCAAGGTTTAAAATTTTAAATAATATTTCCGATAATGTTACGAAAGCACTCTGTCTAGCGTTTTGATCTAGTAGATAATTATATATATTTTCTTTTAACTACACTTTCGCATGATACCTCTTTTTTTTCCCTTTTATGTCCCGCGATGTCTGAACTAGCTTGAGCACCTGTAGTTGATGTTGATACTTGGCATTTGTTCTATCCTATTTGCTAGCTAATTATCAATGAAGTTATATATAATGACCAAATAAGAGATGACTATCTCGAAGCTCGTAGAATTCTTGTGCAATCATAGCTTGAGTTATCAACATAGCTCGACGTCGATATCGGCGCCATTGGCCCCGTCAATATCAATATGGTTCGTCATTATCTTAAAAACTCGCAACTATTAAATCCATGTCAACAACCCGCTTCCCGAAAGGTATTTTCCATAAACGGTATCCAAGGCGGGTCTTCTGACCGCATACGCCGATATATCTCGCAACGATTGGCGGAACCAAAAAACCCCGTCGTCTTGCAAGCTTGGGACCCATGGGGAAGACGGCCTTAGCCTTAAGAATGGGGTAATATAGACGACATGCAATGTGTGCGCACAAAAGTGGCCCCGGGAATAAAGACCACTTTATCCACGGTCCAAAAAGCTTGTTAAAATATAAGGAAATAATGTTTTTCTTTCCGTGAAGGCCTGCGAAAAGGGCAGGGTAAACGGATCAGAGAGACTGTGATTAGCGAAGAAAATACCTGTCGCCTGTTTCGGCTATGTCGCAGGGCGGGTTTTATCCAGGAGCCCTGAGGATACTAGTTCCGAAAATACAACGTCTACAACACGCGAGCCGGTTAGATTTTTCATCTTGGATGCTACATATATCTTAGCTCGGAGCGTCCTCTGAAGGTCTTTCCAATATCTATTTGTGTACGTGTAACGTGTAGATAATTGCTTAGGTTTATCTCATTTTATGGGTACGTCTTGTAAGTTTGGTATGATCTGATTTCGTGGACCAGCCATATGCATACGAGAAGTGGGATCGATCTATAGATCTAGACTAGAACTTCACCTCTGCTGTTGATGCAACGAGAGATGTGTAGCTCCTCACCAGTTTCAGACCGTGTGAGGTGTGAACTAAAGGAGGACTTTGTGAATCAGCAATGAAGCAAGCATCTGGATTGTTAACGGACCTACGTAACGTAACCTAGATAGGCCAATTTCGCATAATAACGAGGCAGTCGTGTGCCGCTAGAGCAAAATCGTCTAGCTCGAAATATACAAGTTATCCCGCCAGACTTTGCACACATGTGTTATTGCTTGTTGCAGAGACCGTTGAAAACGGGCTATTCGTTTAATACCCTTATAGCATTGCTGGGCCGCGGAGTTTCCAGGAGAGCTTGAGTATCATAGACTGGAGATGGGTTTCCATCTCACTAAGGTTCCTTAGCTCAGTTGGTTAGAGCGTGGTGCTAATATGTTAAGAAATTAACTTGTTACGCCAAGGTCGCGAGTTCGACCCTCGTAGGAACCAAAGTTCTCTTTTTAGTTTTCGTTTTGACTGTCAATTTTTTTCTTCCCCCCACTTTCAACTCGGAATCCCGATGTTCGCGAACGCAAATATCGATCTAACAACCTGCCATTGGTTCCGTCCAAGTAGGTATGTTACAGTTATGTATTTGGGCTGCTGAGCCTTGCTTCGCTCAGCTCAGACTGAGGTAGGAATACCACAAACTGCAACACACTCCTCACACAACATTCTCAAAATATCGAAGCCTGGAGTAAAGGGCGAAGCACGGGAGCCTTCACTGTCGTATAGTGTGCTTTGGACTGGCCGATGGGGGCCAGAAGTAGAGGGCAAATTTCCTTTTCTTGCCATTGTTAAAGAGAATATCAATTCTTTTCTCTTTTTTAATAGCCGTATGTCTTATGACAACTACAGCCTAGCCTGCAGACCTGCCTTGATCGCCGAACGCAACATTATCTAAATATCGCACTCGAGTACTCGCACTCCACTAAATTTGGTATTTCATGAATTCATAATGTCTACATTTACAGTACTCCGCTGCGAAAGGCGTACTACGCCGCAATTCTCCGCCAGAACTTCTACAGCCGGGAACACTTCTTAAACCCTGTTGTGAAAGAGCTTTACAATTAAACGAAAGATTGTAGCACGGCACGCCAGAGCAAAAACATCTCGCCAAAGGCCTGCCGAGGTGTCTGGATCGGGAAGGGACGCTAAATTTTTCGCGACGGGTGACGTCAACCATTTCCAATATCCCACGAGATGTTCTAAGTAGTTGGAAGGTAGCTCGCCCCGGCACTGTTGAATGCGACCTTCCTGATCCCGCTACTTATATATCATACTTCGGATGCTATTCACATATAGATATTCTCATATAAGCGTAGCCGGCCGGATTTAATATTCGGTTCTGACCTTCCCTGGGTTCTTGTTTGTGGGTTCATTCCTCTCGAAGCGAGATTTACATTACAGCTCGGAGTCACTATAATGCATATAGATACGGTCTCAAAATTGATAACCTCCATATGTATTACACACGCCTAGCTCTCATATCGTGTATCAGCCCATTGATATAGAAATGCGAAAAATTGAAGGAAGAAAAAAATAAAGCAAAAAAGAAACACTGGTTCCTACGAGGGTCGAACTCGCGACCTTGGCGTAACAAGTTAATTTCTTAACATATTAGCACCACGCTCTAACCAACTGAGCTAAGGAACCTTAGTGAGATGGAAGCCCGATGATTCAGAGCTTCCAAAAGTTCAGCAGAGATCCACTGATCGAGCGAGGTTTATGGCCAGCTGTGTGGTGGGTTGAAAAGGCTGCTTGTGAGTTTGTGGGGATGATGATGAAGAAGTTAAAATTGCGGCTTCCTTCAGGCCATCTCACGTAGTGGAATTCTGCGGGGTAGCAGGTATTTTATGTCATGTCTGAAGTGGGGGGAAGGGTATGAGGGAAGGGGACGGGTGGTGGGATGCTATAGATGTTTATAACGACAGCCAAACCCCTCGAACTCCAGTATAACATTCTGTCATATAGGAAATAGCAGTGGCCGCCGGTTATCTCGCGTATGCACCGCCTAGCGGATGTTCCCGCTGAATTCTCTGGGCGTTGTAGACGGGAAATACTCGCCAATGTTTAAAATCGAGTACGATTTGCCGTACTAGCTGGAGCGAACTTACTTCGAACCGCTGGGGTCCCCGGAACGACGTGTTTACCGGCTGTTTACGTCCCTCACGCATTTCGCCTGGGATGAAAACATCGGACGTGAATACCGGGTGCCATGTCACGCACATAAGACCGTCGCCGCAGCCGTTAGAGAGGACGGTAATGACAATGCTGATGCGAATTAAGAAGACTACTCGCTTCCTTTAGAGTAGTCTGGGGCTTTTGGGGTTCTTTCAAAAAGATCTGTTCCCCGCCGCGTCTTTGATCGACAATCTGCTTCGATGAGCGCTCCCAAATGGCTCACGGCCTGGGGTATGGCAGACAGTTGATGCATGAATCTATGCTCTACGAACTGAGAGGTAGGTCTGGCGGTCGGAAGGTTGTTCGGTACGCTGTTATAAAAGATAATTAGGCAGGAGGAATTCGAGGGATGGGCAGTCATAAATTGAGGCATTGGGGTTGGGGAAGATATTATGATGGGTGGGGAAGGTCTAACACGGTTGTTGGTTGAGGTGAGGAAGGTCCTTGGGACAGCAGAACGCGGTCTGAGGGACACTCCCCTCTGCCTTGGCAAGACGCACTAAGCAATCTATACCGCTTAGGAATCCAGAACGTCCATCTACCAAGGTTCCTTAGCTCAGTTGGTTAGAGCGTGGTGCTAATATGTTAAGAAATTAACTTGTTACGCCAAGGTCGCGAGTTCGACCCTCGTAGGAACCAGTAGATTTTTTGCGATTTTTTTTTATCGCTCCCTGATACCATAACGCCTCCGGAGACCATATAATAGCGTCCTCAGAAAGGATGCAAATTGTATGAAATAAAGAGGGCCGCCGTTTAGCCGCATAAAGATGTACGCAGCTTACTGCGAAAGGTTGGAGGCGGCCTCCGGTGTATCAAAATCCGCCAATCAACGATTTTTATGCCGGTGGCCTGCTAGACTACATTTGACAGGAATCCAGAACGGATCATTAGGGTATCTCATTCCAACTGTTGAATTTTGTTTGGGCTAGCTTTCACTATACTTTATATTATAAGGCCACATCCTTAAACCCTTAGATATTCAGTTGATACTTAAATTGCGGATGAGGCAAGCTAGTTTTCTGAGAATGTTTTTTTTTTGATAGTATATATTGTATTTTCAACATTGCGTGCCTAGCGAAAGGCGACTAGATAGATAGATCTACATGCGCCTGGCTACATTTATTTCCGCCGAGTCACCTCACTTGAGCATATATCCGCAGGAACGAGACTAATATCTGCGTATACATAGTAATCCCACGTTTTCGAGCCCCACCGACATAGAAATTGTATTCAAGTGTTTAATCTTCTCTAGTTCATATAATTTGATGTCCCGAGGGCGAGGCCACACACATCAGTATTCTCCATAATCCGTGCACAGTTTTGCCAGATCGTATGAGTTTGCGAAGATCTCGCATCGCCGAACCCATGAAGGATTTTGCCATAGTCTTGATAGAGGGGGGTATACAGGGTTGCATTCCCAAATTCGACCACAACCCTCGACATGAATGAGAGTCGCGCCGTAAATTTTGTGTAAATTGCGAAATCAGCAAAATTTGTACACGTGCGAAGTGCAACCTCCGATGGTAATGTGACACAACCATAATCCTCTAGAATCTTAAGCACGACATCTCATTTGCCTGCCATTCTAGATAGATAATGACGAAGGGTGGTGGTGATGACACGAGTCTCTAGAAGACCCGAACCCCACAGTTGCGCGGCAAGAAACAAAAAACAATCAGCCTTGAATTCAATCCCGAAATGTAGGTCTAGTGTAGTGCAAGTTTTTAATCCTCCTGGATTGAAAGATGGACCGGGGTTTCATATCAATATTTGGCCACTTGAAAAGACTGTGGGGAAAAAATGAGATTTCTTCATAGATCTACATTGGCTTGCGAACGATACCATGTATTTGATGAGACACCGGGTGTACGGAACCGTTAACCTTCGAACAGCTGTGGGCGCTATCACCTGAGATACTGAGCTCGTCTGATCCGTGAAGCTATGGATCCAGACAAGAAGTGTTTATTCATGTGAGCTAAAACTGTCATGCTGAGATTTAATACGAGACAGTCTCTATACCCTGCCATGTCAACGCCATCAAGCCAAAGTTTTCCATTCTAAGACGAACTATCATACTGTTTTGCCTCCGCACTTATGAGACCGCGCTCTACTGTGTCAGATGAGACGGCACAGAAATGCACCCAACCTTTAAACCTTCGGTCATATGAAGTGGAGAATAACGCCACTCATTGTTGCAGGACAAAAAACTGCAGTGTAGGGATACCGGCATGCATACTTGAGTATGTTATAACAGCGAGATAAGAAACTATACCTGCCCAATCCTAGAAAGAACTAGGGCCCATGGCCAGGGTGAAGGATGTTCGATGGTACATCAAGTGAGTACAGGTACTTCTGCTAGTCATGTATGCATGCGGCAGACGAATTTTGGCCCGGGGTACGAATTGACCGGTGAGTGGTCAACCGGGGGCGGGGAAGCACCCCTATCCATGTCCCAGATTGCTCTTTCATGTCCAACATAGTTCTAACAATCCGTCTGCTTGATCGTTGGTTCTCAATCTCACGTCGTAAACCCTTTTCCGAAGGACATAATATCTACAGAAGAAGCTTAATAACCCAATACATTCCAAGACGTTCAAGGCAAGATGTAAGCAAAAAGAAGGGCCAATTTACGATGGACCAGATCCAGCCTATGGTTTCCATGGTAGGTTGGTATTATAGCATTATCGCAATGTTCGTATTTTATTTTTTTCTTGTGTGGTAGACATGCTATGGAAACTGGAAAGGAGGCTACTAGGGAGCTACCTTTAACGCATAACCAATATTGATTGCGATTTACGAGCGCCTGGAATCCTTACCATATGCTCCTACCAGAGGTAGACGTAAGATTATACGCCGTGGTAACTTAACTGACCAACGCGAGAGAGTCGGACTGGATTACAAAAGACATCGCTCTCAACTAGGGTATATATAGCCAAGAAATCTTCAGATTCGTTAGGGCTATTATCCTCGAAGCGCGGTGAGAATACAACAAGTGTGAAGCCAATATAGAGAACTCGTAATCAGCCTTGGAAATTCAAGAAAGGAACATTTGAGATTTATCTCGTCGCTAGAATCCTTGACCGTGTTTGAGATCAGCAATGAGATGTAAAAACCTGCCACAATGTGACAGCGTGTGCCCATGCCTATAGCCTACTCGAGAAGTAACTAGCTTACACCATCCAAATATTGGAGCAGTATGTAAAATTTAAAAGCATACTAACACGCACATACTTAGGATTTTAAATAACAAGGTCGAATTTGAGGTCTAGAATTCTATGTATAAGATTAGTCTCGTTCCCAGATATACGGTAATATATGCGCCGATTTCAAATTTAGCACTAGGGCGAAGGTTTACCCTATGCTTTGAAGATGTTGCCCTGAGTATACGTACTGTATTGCTTTCCAGCCTCGAACGGTAGCCACACTTATGTAATAATAGATTCGGACTCCTCAAACCGTGGCTACCACTTTGAAATCATCCAAATAGCCTGTATATTAGCCGTAACTAGTGGCGCCATTCGAGAAACCGGAAATTCGTGCATTGAGGCCCAATAGCAAATGCACATTGTGAGGATCGCCTGAGTTGTGTTGGAGTTTTGAAGTTCGCCGCATCGTTTATCCACCAATCATGTCGCGGCTTTGGAGGGCAAAAGATGTTCCGACATACATATTTCTGCCTCGAAACTCTCGGCTTCTCCACAATGGTGGGAGCCATGACGAACCTCCAGAAACACGACTTTGGAATGCCGAAACTTTAAGCTTATACTTATAGATTTTAACGAAAAAGATATTGAATGTTAGTACTATTTTTCCCCGCATTTTTTTTTTTTGGCTTGACATTTAGCCTAAAACTGGACGGAAGTCTGCAGTCATTCGACTCCAGACTTCTCATTATTAATTAGCATTTGGTATTCTATAAAATACAGTAAACCTATACTGTGAAATGCGACCGAGATTCAAAGATTCATCAAAGTTCAAGCCAGTAACTTGATCAAGTAAAATACAATAAGAATAACTTCAAGTACTTCTTCGCTTAGTCTCCCCGATATTCCGAAAGTTTTCCAAGATGGCGGAAACCGGTTCCTATCAAAATCCCATTTTGAGGGGTTTCAACCCAGACCCTACCATTTGTAGGGATCCCAGGACCAATGATTTCTTTATCGCAACATCAACATTCGAATATTTCCCTGGAGTTTCAATTTATCATAGCAAGGATCTCATCAGCTGGAAACTGATCGGCCATGCGCTCACCCGACGTAGCCAACTCGACATGCGAACGGTCGAGCCTGGTGGCGGGATTTGGGCGCCAACTCTCCGATATGTGAATGGAAAGTTCTACATGACAACAGCGAAATGGGACAGATATCGCCCCGCGCAGAATGTACGTCTTTGATGCTTGTATCTTCTGATGCCAGTTTGAGGTGTTTTTGAGGGTTTTAAAAGTTTCTAAATTTATGCTTAACGCATACAATACCCCTGCTAGGAGAATATTTAATATCTCCGGTAAAATAGAGATTTAAAACTGACTTGCGTTTAGGAAAGGGTCTGGCCTAGGGGTTTCTATGTTGAAACAGACAACATATGGGATGAGAACAGTTGGTCTGATCCAGTTTATTTCGACCTTCCGGGGTTCGATCAAGATGTATAAAAAGTCCTTCATTTCCCTTTATCTTCCTCAACTAGAGTGCTAATTTATTTTTTAGTTATTCTGGGATGATGACGGGAAGGTCTACTTATCGACAACCTATAGGTTGGTAGATAGGGACCCAAAGAGTACGAAAAAGGACTTTGCAATTCATCTATGCGAAATAGACCTAGCGACAGGGACATCATTGACTCCTCCGACTGTCATTCGTGTTGCACCCTCCGGATTAGCTGAAGGGTCCCATATCATCAAAAGAAACAATTATTACTATCTATTTACAGCCGAGGGTGGAACGGAGGACGGCCATACCGAATGGGTATCCCGTAGTAGTGTCGGCCCGCTAGGCCCTTGGGACCTCGGAACAAGAAACCCGCTATGGAGAAACACAACGTCCGACGAGGTTCAAAATACTGGGCACGCTGATTTGATCGAAGATGCTGCCGGTAATTGGTGGGGCGTGTTTTTGGGAGTGAGACCATGGAGGCAAGAGAATAATGGGGAAGTAACTTGGGAGATTTCTCAATACGGTACGGGCGTTTCTGTTGTTACTACACAACTACCGGCAGCGTTCTAATTTATGATATCGCCAGGTCGTGAGAGTTTCTTGGTTCCCGTAAGCTGGGAGGATGATTGGCCAGTTTTTAACTACGGCAAAAAGATCACCTTGCTCGGGAAAGCCCCCGATACTTATCACGTCCAAGATGCTGATACTTGGTTCGATGATTTCAGTGAGAGTAACCTAGGGCTAGGTTGGTATCATAAACGTAAGCACCCCCTCTCTCGGCTAACTGGGACATGGAATCTATAGTCCCTTCGGATATCAGGGTGAAAGAATCTAACATAAACACCAACCTCTAGACACACCTCTGAAGCGAGAATATAGCCTTACTACACGGCAGGGCTTTCTTAGACTTCACGGGGGTCCATACAACCTGACCGTTCCTGAATGTCCGACCATGCTACTCCAACGACAAACCCGTGCCAACATAATTTG